GGACAGTGATGAAACAGGAAGTGGGACAGTAACAGCAAGTGGGACAGTGATGAAACAGGAAGTGGGACAGTAACTGGAAGTGGGACAATGAAGTAAACAGGAAGTGGGACAGTAACTGGAAGTGGGACAATGAAGTAAACAGGAAGTGGGACAGTAACAGCAAGTGGGACAGTGATGAAACAGGAAGTGGGACAGTAACTGGAAGTGGGACAATGAAGTAAACAGGAAGTGGGACAGTAACAGGAAGTGGGGCAGTGATAGAAACAGGAAGTGGGACAGTAACAGGAAGTGGGACAGTGATGGAAACAGGAAGTGGGACAGTAACAGGAAGTGGGACAGTGATGGAAACAGGAAGTGGGACAATAACAGGAAGTGGGACAATGATGGAAACAGGAAGTGGGACAATAACAGGAAGTGGGACAGTGATGGAAACAGGAAGTGGGACAGTAACAGGAAGTGGGACAATGATGGAAACAGGAAGTGGGACAATGACAGGAAGTGGGACAGTGATGGACCTGTGGCCATGTCAAACAGACAGATCGATGAAGAAATAATCTGTTAATAATAGTTTACAGAAAATCAGCTTCAGGTTAAACAGGAAGCAGAAACAGACTTGGTTCGGTGGAAGTTTGGGGTTTTTTTCCTCATCACCCTCCTCCCTGTCTGCCTCAGAGTCAGGGCCGGACTAGAACCAGCAGCTGAACCAGAATCAGCAGCAGGACCAGCAGCAGGACCAGGACCAGCTCCGGTGACCCGGCTGGCCTTGACCTCATCGATGAAGGATTCGATGGCGGTGAACTTCTCGGTCAGGTCTCCCAGGTGAGCTTTGAGGGCGTTGAACTCCTTGTAGAGGTCGTCTAAGGCCTCGGAGAGCGGCTGGATCCTAAACCAGGACCAGACCAGGTCCAGTTCCAGGACAGAAACAAAATACATGAAAGCAAGAATAAGTAAATGCAGTTTGATGCTGGTTCTGTTTGACTCTGTTAGCTCCAAACATCTGGAAACGACTGGAAATAAAACCTTTCCTTCTGACCTCAGGGGTTCTGTTCAGGACAACTGGACCGGGTTGTGCAGACATGGACATACCTGGCGTAGTCCGGCAGCAAAGACTGGTGCTGGTTCTGCAGGAGGTCCCTCATCTGGGTCAGGATGTCAAACCTCCAGTCGTCCAGAACCTGAGTCAGGTTAGCCACGCCCCTCATGTTGACTCGCTGAGCTGGAACAGAACCATCACAGGAACCTCTTTATGGACATGAAGCTGTCTCTGAACCTTGGTTCTGATCCGTTCAGTCCTGCAGCTCTGCTGCTGTGGATCCTGCTGCTCCGACACAAGTCAGAGACGGGCTGCAGGTTCTGAACGAGCTGGAAAAACACAGGATAAACACACACACACACACACACACACACACACACACACACACACACACACACACACACA